ATGATAACATTTGCCTGTGCTTTAGCTTCCAGCCTTGTCCATATACCTGAACCTGTGGACACTTTTGTCAGTTCAGACACAGAACACCCTAGAAAGCCTGGCACTGGCAGCTACACATTTGCATGGAATTAAAAACCAATTTTGGTTGCAAATTAATTACATTTTAAATTAAATTTCCTCATGAGGAAACAGATAATTCCACCTCTTGCCTACCAAGGTGCTGGTGGTGGTAGATATTTTAAAAAGGCACAACACCCTCTGATTCTAATCGCCTGGCTTGTGTAGTGACCCTTTTGCATCTAGCCTGGGGAGAGATGACAAGAGTCACCTGCCTTCAAAGCAGAGATATGTGTGTAGAGAGAAGGGGAAAGGCAGGATGTCCAGACATCATTGGAATTCTTCTCTGCTTCTTTCACTTTGGTGTGAGCCACTGAGGTACAAAATATGCCTCCTTCCCCCCCCCCTCCGCCCCTCGCTCCATGAAACACTATGCTGTCCCAGGTTATTTCACCTACAGAAAGAGCCCATTGACTTTCACCATAGGCAAACCTCTGTTCCTGGTGCAATTCTAAGAAGCACCACGTGCAATCTAATAACTGCTTGTTGGGTTGAGAATAAAGGTTAATTAATCCTTCTTGTGTCTTCCTATAGCTGGCTGTATAGCTCTGTGGTTTAGATATCTGGTTATAGATATATGGTATACTGCCTCATGTGAGTAAAGCCAGCCTACTTGGCCTTGGGCAAGCTGCACAGCCCTAGGACACGCCAGAAGAATGGAATGATAAACTACTTCTGAATATTTTCTGGAAAGTCCTGAGAAGAGTCACCATAAGTCAGAATTAACTTGATGGTACATGATCATTCTGTAATAACATATTCCCATGATTTTGTATAACCTTCTGTGATGGGCTGACCCAGGCAACAGATATATGGAAAGCAGGTTTCCCCCCGCCCCATATTTTATTCAAAGTTGCCACTGATGATGTTCTAAGACATTAGACTGATCAAAGGAAATCTTGATCAATGTGCTGTAACAGTTAGGGTTATATTTGGGTTTTTAAAAATCAGGTTTGGGTCCCTACTGCACAATGAAAGTCACCAGGTGACTGTTTCCAAAGAGCTAGCTGTGTCATCCTGGCCTTGGATTGGACTCGATCAGGCTAAACAGGGTTGTTTGGAGGTGAGATGCATCATTTTGGGTGGTGCTTGCATCCATAATCTTTCGTCCAAGATTTCTATAGGCTCCAGTACTACAACTAGACTGCATGTCTATGTGATGGACTGGAGATTTTTAAACCTGGGGCTAAGAATCCCTCATACTGAATTTGTATCCATTTACTCAATGTGACACATTATTCAACAGCAAGGTTTACCTGTGAAGTCATTATATTTAGAGAATGTTTTCTCTGCCAATAGAACCTGAATCTAAAGACAGCAGTTTGCTAACTCTTGAACAGCATAAAGTGTCAGCAAGCTGTGGTGTGTGGCAGCTTGTCTGCTACAAATGAACATAAGTCTTCATTGTTTTTCCCCCACAGTGTTTATTGAATACAGAATTATATAAATAAGACAGAAAGTAAAGGCATGTAGCATTGAACAACCAAGAAGAACAGAAATTAATTATTTATACAACCAATATTGATCACAAAGTATTATCACAACACTTAATTTGTAGAAGTATCAAAGGAGAAATTCCTAAGAAAAAATTATAATAAGTGTATGCACAAAATTGAGTTAAAACATTGTGCCAGAAATCCAGATGAATACCTGGTTGAAAGTATGTTAATTTGTTGTGATTGACAAAATCTAGAAATCAAAACCATGTACTTATAAAACCATCACATTTCAATGTTGTCTTAATACGTCTCATTTGATATGTTAAATTGTTCATTAAGGTTATTGTCCATACTATGTTACTAGCTCTTTAAAGAAAGAAAAATCTATAAAAGTAAGAATAACTCTTGCCCAGCCACTAAATATTGAAGAAGTGCTGATTTCTTGTACAGCAAATTGTGGTTTGCTCCCACAAACAAAAGAAGTAAGAGTTCTGTGGTTTTGTTTGATTTTTTGATGGGTACTGTAATAGACTTGTTTACCCAAAACAACTCAGAAGCAAAGGTTTGCTATATAGCTGAGCAAGGATAATCACATATGGAAATCAGATCTGAGATGACCACCTACCTACTCACCAGTAACATTATTGTTTATGCGGGTTAATCTCAAAGGGTGAAATAACACCTGGCCAATAGCTTTAAAATAATGATCCTTTGTTTTAGACAGTATCATAACATAAGCGCAGATTTTTGCACCAAGATCTCCATACCTCCTATGTTAATTCTACCTGAAAATCATGCCATTTTAAACCTTCCAGTGTCCAGTGACTGGCTAAATACATCTACAGGTTTTTAAATCAAAGCCTCAAACTTTATTATTGATGCTTCAAAAGCAGGTGATGTTCTGGTGATTGTGGTTTTACCTGAAGTAAGGAAGCAAAATACCTGCAGGACTTCTAACTGAGGTGGGTTTAAAAAATTATTTATTTATTTAACTTAAATGTCGCCCACACTACCCAAAGTTCTCTGGGTGGCTTACAACCACTCAGAGACCTTTGCGTTAGTTTTGTTAGTGTCAAACAGATAACACAAGCCAGCTCCAGTTTTGGGCTCCTTATCATGGTACAAACTGTCCTTTCCCAGGTTTGATTTGTATCCCCTTATTGCAGAACAAGGGAAGACTGAGGAAAGGTATAATTAGTTGATATGGATGAATATCTATTTCTCTGCGCTATTTTCCAAAATCCTACAGCATGACACAGGAAAAGGGTACCAATAACAGAACAGGAATTAAACAAAGCCTAGAAAAGGGGAGGGATCCTTCATTCATCTGTGTTATTCCCTTTCCATTTTAAGCACAGCCCAATAGGGATGTTTCCCAAATTAAATTATTTCTTATAGGGAGGTTTATTTAACAGCTGGCCTAATAAACTGACAAAGCACGGTGTATATTTTAAGCGAAACATCTCTATTAATGCACACAAGTTCTCTGAATTTTTGTTTGATAAATTTGCCATGAGAGGGCACCCTTGGCTTCTTGTTCACGCAATTGTTATTACAGCACTTCATCCGATGCCATGGGATCTTAAAACTCAAACAAGCAAAGACTTTTAGCAATGATGATGTGAGAGATATCCTGTTGGCTTTGTGTGTGTGTGAGAGAGAGAGAGACAGAGACAGACAGAGGGAGAGAGAGAGAAAGCATTTGTGCTTCAATGAACCTGTATAGAAGGTTGTACACTAAGTTTTGTAGAGTTTAATCTTAAAATACTGAATGGGAAATTTTGTTAATTTATAGGATTTGTTGCTAAAGACAGCAAAAGCAAAAATCAGGAAAAGAGGGTTCTACAGATTAACAGTGAGGAGTGACTGGGGGAAATACAGCCTGAACATGCAAGCCTAATTACTCAAGGGAGTCGCTCTTAGGGAATTAAATAAGTAGGAAATTAGGATGCAGTCATCTTCTGAATGCAAAGCAGATGTCTTGTGTAGTTTAATCCTCGTTGTTTCCACTTCCAAACAGAGACCCTTTGGGGCAAAAACAAAATCTATGTAGATCGGAAAATATGTAAACATTTCCCTAAAAGCTCCCAAAGAAAGTCTAAAAAGAGAGCATAAAAAAGGAAATGCTTGGATGAACAAATGTCTTTTACTTCTTAAAGAGACTCTGCTTCTAAAGATATACTGCTTATATTATCCAGTTTCTCCTAAAGAGGCAACAGGCTTTCCTTCACCAGGGAGGCATGATCCTGATTTCTGCCTTGGTGCCTCAAAGGGCCTCATTGTTCCAATTTGGAACAAGTTCAGAGGAGGGCGACAAGGATGATCAGGGGGCTGAAAACCAAGCCTTATGAGGAAAGGCTGAAAGAATTGGGCATGTTTAGCTTGAGATAGCACTTTTCAAATACTTGAAAGACTGTCATACAGATGAGGGGCAAGATCTGTTCTCGATCATCCCAGAGTGCAAGACACGCAACAATGCGCTCAAGTTAAAGGAAGCCAGATTTTGCTTGAATATCAGGAAAAACATCCTAACAGTTAGAGCAGTATGGCAGTGGAACCAGTTACCTGGAGAGGAGGTGAATGCTCCAACACTGGAAACATTCAAGAAAAACTTAGATAATCGCCTGGCAGATATGCTTTGATTGTATTCCTGCACTGAGCAGGGGATTGCACTTGATGGCCTTGACGGCCCCTTCCAACTTCACTTTTCTATGATTCTATGATTCTATGATTGTCTCTTCCTTCAGCCCTCCTGACAGGACAAATGAGAACAGACTTAGGTTAAAGTAGAATGGATGAAGACAGCCCCAGAGCAGACATTGTAATTGCAGAATAAGGTTCTTGGAGATGGTGAGAATTTCCAAAGTTCTCTAGTTTGGGGACTTGTTTTCTATTGGAGGTGAAGTCCAGCCTGGCTTGAATTTAGGATACGTACAGTATTCCACATTCTCACCCCATGTTCAGATCTTCATTTCTGAGTGTCAAACAGAACTTTGAGAACCTGTATTTCTTATTGTTGTTTTACTATAGTGGTTCCTAGCCTTGGGTCCTCAAATGCTCTTGGACCACAACTCCCCAAAAATTCTGAAGCATGTTGCATTTGTACCATTTGATTTTACCTGGGCTCAGCAGTTTGTGTTTCCCTGCTTGCAGAAACAGGTACTGTATTTTCCAGAGATCTAGAAACAGAAATATGTGACAACACAGACATTGACAAAACTAGCATTTGAATATCTCTAAAAAGGCACAGGACAGGTGGGAATGGGCACCCATCTGTGTGCTCTTATTTGAGTGTGGCTTGGGGGGAAAAGCACTGCACATCCCTATGTATGATAACACGAGCTAATGCCAGCCTTGGTATTTTTGTTGATGTACATGTCAAACAAACAAATGATAACCATGGATTGGTTTAAAGTTCTGATTCGTCCTCTTGAAAAGTTGCATTCACATTGGGCAAACTTTGTTTTCTGAAACTGTCAGGTGGGCAAAGGAATGGCAGCTGCTGCCTTCATCCTCATTTCTGTGGTTGAAGATGGTAACCAGGGCTGCCACTGTTGACATCTCCCCACTGTGTCTGCTGCATGTCAGTGTGGCCTTCTCTGGATTCATATTGGAGTCTGCGTTCATTTTGGAGTCTGCTGTCTCTTGTTCACTGCATCCAAACAGTTGAATTAGGCACATCCGGAACTAAAAATTAAAGTACAATTGATTATACATGGAACTTCATCAGTATATTTAATACTAGTGGGTTTTTTTTAAGGGAGTCTATGTTGTATCATCAAACAAAGCAAGGGCACTTTTTAGTGAAGGTTTCAACTGTTCACGGAACGAGTGCTCAAACAATACTGGGATACATTCCCCTCCCAAAAAAACCCCAAGATTTGGAGAAATATGGTTCTCCAAATATTGCTGACAATTGGAGATTTCAGTCTTTCACAGTGAACACTTTGTGCAAACAACTCATGGGTTTCCAGTCAAGTCAATACATATTTATTGTTTTAAAAGTCCAAGCTTTTGATGGCAATATCCTGGGCCATTCATCAGGGAAGGCAAGATATCAACTAAAACAAAACTAAACATGGTATTTAAGACTAAAAACCCATGAGTTGTTTACTACATGGCTGACTATATCTTGCAGCTTCCCTGACCATTAGTCATGCTGGCTGGAGTGTACGGTAATGAGTCCAACAACATCTAGTGGGCCAGAGGTTCCAGCCCTACCCAAAGAATCAAGTCTGTAGTTCAGGGTGCTTATTGAGCCACATGTGTTGCTACAGACTCAGGTGGCAGATATGGCATGACCTACATTTGAGCTAAGACTAGTACACCAGATCAAAATACCCTAGGACCAAGTCAGAGAGAGCTTTGCCATAGTTTATCCATGCTCTGATAACCTCCAGGATACAGTACTACAAATGCATTGTATACTGGTGACTTTAAATGTTGTCCCTTAGTGCAGAATACAGCTGGACTTACTAAAAGAGGCAGGAATATTTCAGCAGGATTGAAATTGGTCAGCTAGTTCCTGTTGCAAAGGGGTGGGTGGAAAGGCCATATGTCTCTTCTATCAACTTTGAAAGCAAGGGTGGGTGATACCTTTATTGTACCATTAAAATACCAAAAAAGTTACACTCCCAAGGTCCTCTGGACCTTTCTCCAGACCGGACATTGCAGAGTTCAGGGAAGAAAGCAAAATAAGTCCAAAAACTATCCTGATCAGAATTTACCATGTCAGGATCAAGTAATGTCCCAGGATGGAGACTCCAAAACGTGTTGCATCAGCTGGAGGTATGAAGTTTCACTCCATCCAATGTAGGTCGAATTGTCTTTCCTCATCTCTGCAAACATATGGTCACCAAACACCTTGTACAAAGGTTGGGATCATTCAGAGACTGGTCTGTTTCCAAAGACCAATTAAAGTAACTTCAAAGAGTCTTTCAAAGTTTCCTCTCTTTGTTTGGACTGCAACACCCTGAATGCTTTAACGAGCCTTGAAACTGACTGTGTTGGTTGGATACTCCTGGGAGATGAGGTCCATAACTTAACTTTATCCACTTAAGTTGTGATGCTCGTGGCGCAGTGGTTAAACGGCTGTACTGCAGCCAAAACTGTGCTCACGACCTGGGGTTCAATCCCAGGTAGCCAGTTCAAGGTTGACTCAGACTTCTATCCTTCTGAGGTTGGTAAAATGAGTACCCAGCTCGCTGGGGGGGGCAATGTGTAGCCTGCATGATTAACTTGTAAACCGCCCAGAGAGTGCTTGAAGCGCTAGGGGGCGGTATATAAGCAGCACGCTTTGCTTTGCTTCCATTTGAAGCTCATCATGAAGTGTGTTCAGTAGACAGAAATAATGCATTAAGAGCATGACAGTAAAGCTAACCTTAAATACCATATGTAAATTCTGTATACCACTGAGAAGAGAAGAAGTACCGTACCTGACTGTTCATAAAGACATAGATAACTGGATTATAAACTGTAGCTGTCTTTGAAAAGAAAGCTGGAATTGCAGCAAGGCGAGGGTCCAAGTCAATAGAAGGGCAGGCAGTAACCAAGATTGAGAAGGCTGCATAAGGAGACCAGCAGATTAAAAATGCAAGGATCATAATGACAACCATTCTAGTAACTTGTCTTTCAGGCTTTCTGGTAGCCCCTAATCTGCTTTGAGTATCTGAAACCTTGAAAGGAAGAAAGAAAGGAACATCTCATCAGATATACCCACAGTGTCAGGATTTCAGCCTAGAGTCCATTTAATCCCGTAGACCTAGAGGCTGATTTTCTGTGTCTGGACCACAAAAACAAGCAAAATTGAAAGAAAATGCAACATAACAGAAGTAGCCAGAAATCAACTTTTTGTTTTGAAAAAATGGATCTGGAAGGTTTTTAAACACTGGGGATGGGGGTGGGGCTTTTGCCCTATTTAAAAAGTTGAAGATTTCCTGGAATTGCACATTGCTTTTTTTTTCTTCCAGAGAAAAACCATTTTTGGCAGGGGAGGGGGAACAAAGGGTAATAAAAACATCCTGCGTGGGCACACTGTTTGCAAATTCACTTGTTTTGTTTTGTGACTAGTCTTCTGGATCTAAAGATAGGCTTTGCATGCATTCTGTGATGATTCATACACAAATGTCTGCCTCAGTCACGCCCGAGAACACTAGCAGATTTCACACAAAGGCAATATGCCATACCTTTATAGACCTTACTTTAAAATCATTCTACAATACACAACCTTTCATGGATCAAAACACCACCTCATCAGGCTGTACCAATGTGAAGACTTAAAAGTCCAAAATTCATGGCATGACAGATTTTGCCAGGAAAGTTACTTTTACATATAAAGTCCAAAAGGCAAGGTGGATTTTGCCAGGCAGGCCTCTCTTGAATGGAAGTCCGGAGAGGTGCAGGAAGCAGTGATTGCATTTTTAGGGTTACAGCTGAAGCAGCTGTGGATTGGATATCACACTCCAGTTCTTCAAACAAAGAGGCATAGGCTGTGTGTGTGTGTGTGTGTGTGTGTGTGCGTGCGCGTGCGTGCGTACGTGCACGCGTGCACACACCTCCCCATTTGGCCTTTCTTTGAAACAGACATATTCCTGCTTGGCCAGAGAGTGAACCTGTCTGTCTGTCTGTCTGTCTGCCTGCCTGCCTGCCTGCCTGCCTGTCTGTCTGTCTGTCTGTCTGTCTGTGTCTCTCTCTCTCTCTCTCTCTCTCTCTCTCTCTCTCTGTGTGTGTGTGTGTGTGTGTGTGTGTGTGTGTGTGAGAGAGAGAGAGAGAGAGAGAGAGAGAGAGAGAGAGGGAGAGGGAGAGGGAGAGGGAGAGAGAGAGAGAACTCAAGTCCTTCATCCAGGAATTGGGGTGTTAATTTAGCAAACCCAGTAAATTTTGCCAATTTGGGTCAGATTAAAGATTAAAGCCAAAATCATATTACCTAGTGGTTGCAGTCCTGATCTGCTGTTGTTGAGAGTCCATGTGTCTTCTTGTTGGTATGGGGGGGTATTTCTTGGTATCCTTGTAATTCCATTGAAATAAAAGGGGAACCATGAAATAAATTCGAGGTAATTCCATGAAATAAAAGGGGAGCTCACATATTTTATAATTATTTTAAGTGGTCTAAAAAGGTGTCTTCTATTGCATTTGTATTTTATTTTGCTTTGACCACACGGCTGCCATTTTCATGGCTTCAGGGCTTTAATAGGTGATGTGCACTGACTTCTGAAAATATTTGTGTGATTTGAGGCAAACATAGAGTAGAGCAATATGCCCAGGAGCACTCTTTGGCACAAAAATCAACCCACATAGATCCTTCAAGTGACATGTTGCACTCACGGGATTAAAAATGTTAAAATTAAAAAGGTGCCATGAAATTCAAAGTAGGGAGAAAAGAATGAAAAACACATGAGTGCAATACAAGGAAGACACTGAGTTGGGGCCAAAGGAGGAGACTAGCAGCTTCACCCAAATATAACACAAGACTTTGACACACAACAGTCACTGAGAGTCTGTGAGTGAGGTCGCTAAACCATAGTAGCTGAACAATTAGGACTCAGACCACACGTTTTCTGAATAGTTTTTATCCCAGAGCTATAATTGAACTTAATAATGAACTTAAAAACCACCAGTAGTGAATAGTTGGACAGTGTTACTTAGCCTGCAGTGTAGATGTTTGTATTTTTAGTGGGGGAATTTTAGGGGGGGGGTTGTATGGGGATTTTTTTATTTTATTTTTTTAATGTGTATGCATGTGGGTCTGGTCTCTGGGTGTCTGTGTGAATTTCGCTGTATGTGTATACTATGTATAGACTTACAATGACAATAAATGTATTTATTTATTTATTTATTTATTTAGCTACTCCCCACTTTTTTTTTAGCTGCAGTACCAAGGAAAGGACTTATTTTGGTCTGGCATATTGCCTGGTCTTTCCTTTTCAAATTTTCCTCCTCCTACCCTCCATGGTTAAAACTTGGCTAAGCTACTAGGACTGAATGTATGTGTGTGTGCAGAAGAATGTCTGCACTTCTATATGGATCTTGAGTGGTTTACTCTAGGATGCCAGAGTCTGTCATTCTCCCTCATCCCTTGGGGTTTTCTTTTCCTGTTGGCACAGTGGTGACACTGCTAAAGTCTAGAATAGTTGTCTCCTGCTTTTCTTTCTTTCTTTCTTTCTTTCTTTCTTTCTTTCTTTCTTTCTTTCTTTCTTTCTTTCTTTCTTTCTTTCTTTTTATTTTATTTTATTTTATTTTATTTTATTTTATTTTTTTGTGTTCCCTGGGTTGGAGGTGGGCAAACAGCTCTAGCACTAACAATTCTGATAGAACTGTGTTAACACACACACCCCAAGTCACAGCCAGGAGTTCATCCCCATTCATAGGAATGGAGTTTTTTTTTTTCTTGGAAGTCAGGAAAAACACAAATACTGTCACAGATCAGCAAGGATAAGCTTGGAATGTCTTCGTAAGGGCACAAGGCATGTTGGGCATCAGTCTGTGTGTCTTGATTTGGACACAGAATAGGACACAGCACCACACTTCCTTGGTTTTAAGTAATGTTTAATTTGACATTTAGTATTGCTTACATTGATCCTAAGCCCTTTTTGATCATATTTATGAACTGGTACCTCACTGTGATTCAGTGTTATATTGTTTTATCTTTGTACATGGACCAGTATCCTGGAACCCACATTTGGAACCTGGAATCTGCTGACTCAGTTTACCTCTTCCCCACTCCACCACTCCCAAGACTGTGAACCAGATGCTGTGGCATGAGATAATGTAGGGATACCTCTCCTGACACAATACCAATGGCAGGACCAAATCTGCACAGCCGAAAGCAACCATGTCAAATGCAGAAAGTGTGGGTCAGGTGTACAGAAAGGAACCTATTCTGCTCCTCAGATTGCGCCAGTCAGACCTTTCAGGCACAACATTAATCATGAAATCTAAGCCAGTTTAAATGTAGCTTAAATCACGGAGCTCTACATCCTAAATCTCCAGATGTATGTACCATGTTTGAAAACTCAGTCCATCTAAAATTGGACCCTTTCACACACACACACACACACATACACACACACACACACACACACACACACACACACACACATTAGTGTCTGAAACCTCATTGCCAATCCTGTCTCTTGTAAATGTTTGCACCTACCTTTCTAAGTTTCCGCATCAATTTTCCATAGGACACCAAAATCACCAGTAAAGGTAGTATGAAACACGTGGTAAAGAACGTAATAATGAAGGTATGGTCATTGTAGTCTCTGGAATACCTATAAGAATTGCACAAGATTTTTAGGTTCTGTTTCACTGGGACAATTTTAAAAAATATACCATTTATCTTCCTTACCAGTTGGGTTCACAGGTAGTTCCAATCTTGCTGGTTGTATAGCTGCTCCATCCCATTGTAGGAGGGATAGTCCAGATGAAGGAGAAAATCCACACAAATGCTATTCCCAGAGCTGCATGCTTCCCTTGGAGGCGCATATTTCCCAAGGGGCGACAAATCACAATGTAGCGCTCAAATGCAAGGAGAGCAAGTGACCAAAGAGCAACTATTCCTGTAACAAAGAATAACTTCTATCAGGGGAAAAAGAAATCAATATGATAATACTGGTGGAGACGGGGAACTTGCTACCTTCCATCTGTTGCTGAACTACAAGTTCCAGCATGCCTGACCAATAGCTGTGCCAACAGCTTTGTAACTCTAAGAACATATGGAGAGCTACAGATCCCCAACCCATGATGTAAAGGTCATAACGTGAGACTTTGACTAGAGGGTTATGAGGTCAATTCCCTACTCATGATTCCAATCTGCATAGCTCATCTTGCCACCAAATCCCTATTAGGACCACCATAAGTCAGAAGTGACTTGACAGCACACAACAACAAGGTGAGCAGAGCAAGGGTGGCTCATGGTATGAGCAGGGAGGAGCACCACATCTTGGCATGTTGGGTGAGGCACCCTTGCTGCTTGGACCATAGGCCTCCTCTGAGTTCTAATTCCAAATATCTAGAGGGTCAAAACTCCCTGTTTCTGCACTAAACACAGAGTGGAAGGTTCCTTCTAGGGCTAATAGGAATGTCAGAGAAGTGAATGAGTGAGGGAGACAGGTCCTCATGAATTTTTCCAGCATGAATTATTATCGTGGCAGTGTTACCTAGACCTAAGCCCCACTAAATCAAGCAGGGAGAGAATAAAGCCCAATGAGACCACCCAAGTGGGACAACTAAGTGTTTTCTGGGTCTGGTTGTGCGTGTGTGCGTGTGTGCATTTGTTTTGCCACTTATTTCCTAAGACTAATTGCAATCTGTGGGAAGGAATTTTCTTAAGCTAAGTGCTGCAGAGAAATGTGCCAAATATAGTTTGAATGAGGATGGTAAAATTTAGCTTGTGTATTTAATAAGGATGTGCATGCTGAAAACTTTCATTTTGGGTTCTTTCAAGGGACGTGCCTCTTTTATTGTCATGTCTTTCATTCCTTGGTCCAATCATTTAACACAAAAGGGATTGGTACTTTCAGGTTGTTTCATTTTGGTTTTTCATTATTTGTGTTTCAACCGGTACTCATCGAAAAGCCCTAAAGAACCCAAAAAACAACTCCCAAAAAAGCAAAGGCAAGGTGACAGAGAATCAATCTATTTCAAAAGCAGGCAACAGTACAACCAAGCACCACCACCAAACAAAACAGTTCTTTTAAAAATCACCAAAACATATACCTTTAACAGAATAAATAAAACAATAAATTAACCAAGTGACAATTTCTAAAACATAAATCAAAGAAAGCACAAAAGCATACACACAAAGGGAAAATAACAAAACAAAGCAAACACACACACAGTCCCTTCTCACAAAAACCAAGAAAAGCAAGCAAGCAAGCAAATACAGACAAAAAAAAACCCCTACCACTTGATATTTAAGCATACACACAAAGGGAAAATAACAAAATAAAGCAAACACACAGTCCCTTCTCCCAAAAACCAAGAAAAGCGAGCAAGCAAGCAAATACAGACCAAAAAAAACCCTACCACTTGGTATTTCTTCGCTTCTCTTGTATGAGTTCTTCAGGTGCCAGCAGGCGGCAGCAAAAATAATCCCCATAGAAATGGAAAACAAATGCCGACAACGAGAGAGAGAAAAAGGAAAGGATCCAACCAAGGTAGAAGCACAGTAGCAAACAGCTATGCAGACCAGGTGGTGGGCGCCAGTAGTGTGCACACCCACACAAAGAAAAACAATCCCACTGGGTTCCAACCAATCTGGTCCCTTTTACAGCTTTGCAATTCTTGCTCTTCTCCTCCTGAAAATTCTGATTGGCTGCTGATAGTAGCCCTGGTGACACTATTTGATTAAATATTTTCTGGGCAAATTGACAGACAAGGAGTGAAAAAGAGGTTAAATAAAAGAGGGAGACATGAAAGAATGTGAAACTTTCATGCATGTGTCATTTGTTTACATTTGTATTTCAGAGGACCTCTTTCAGGAATCAATAAAAGATCATGAAAATGTAAATAAGACCCTATATTGTATGTTTCTTGTTCATTTTAAGAAATTAAACATGTTCAGCGTTATCTTAATGTACAGTTTAAGACCCTATATTGTATGTTTCTTGTTCATCCATAGTCCCAGACATGGTTTATTTTAAGAAATTAAACATGTTCAGCATTATCTTAATGTACAGTTGGATTCTCAAAAGTATAATGGCCTATGAAGGCAGACCTTTGAGAAGAGCTGTTTTTGGAATTACAGGAGTCCCAAACATGAGAGTGGCTGATAAGTTTGACTAATGATGCAGACTTGTAATATCCAATGGGAATATGCATCATGTCAAATATGGGGAGAACGTGGGTGTGTCTCTTGCTTGAATTACCTGTATGATGCTACAAGAAGCACTGCCAAGATGACTTGGCTATCCTGCCAGCACAGGATCCAAAGCTACCCAACATGGATGATGAACCACTTTAGCAAAGCAATAACCAGCCTTCCTCAACCTGGTGCCTACCAGATGTTTTGAACTACAAGTGCCATTATCAGTCACCGCAGCCAATGGGCAGTTATTAGGCATCTGGGAACTCAATGCATATTGGAGAGCCCAGCCTAGGGAAGTCTGGGACAGATGCTCTCTGCCTTGGCTTACTTTTTGCTTGGAAATGATATTACTAAACACTTTGCCAGCAACAAGCACTGTGTTAAATGTTACTAAAAGATCCTGCCAAAAATGGCCATTTCCCTAGGATGCTTCTATGGCACAGAAAAGCTGCTTTTGACAAAGTTGGAAGCGTGATACCTATTTCAGGCAGTCCAAATACATGATTAAATATACAACAGTCAGACAATTAACAGCCAGGAAAAAACACTGTAGTAGTGTGAAGCTGACAGTATATTAAACTTGGACTAGAACTTCTGAATTCAAGTCCTCCTATGAAGCTCACAGGGTCACTTTGAATAAACTGAAACATCTCAGAATTACTTTGAGAAGAAAATGGAATTAATGACACTATCCTGTAGAAAATAGAATTAACACCATGTTTCATTCCAGACGAGCTTCAATGTCTGAAATAGTGGTGTGAACAGCACAGGACAAACAATGTAGTGCTAAATTTAATCTAGAAATAGATTTATGCTTTCAGAAAAGCTAGGTACAAGAGTGCTCAGATAACATGAACACTTGGTGGGTTGCAGAAAGAGCTCTCCCTGAGCGACCAGAGATGCAGAGTAATTGACCAATTAACCAGATGAAGCACTACAGTTAATCAACTAAGAACACTTTAATTGGTTAATAGCCTTGAGTTACAACACTGTTATTTTTCTAGGAGTCATACTTCACCATTATTGCTGAAAATCCTAAAAGGTATTCTAGGAAAGCATGCCTCGTTCTCACCCACTCGTCAGTTTTCCTTCCAATATTTTAAAAGAGATGAATCTCAGTTACCAAATATATGTTGCTGGTGGTGGTGTCTTTAAAAAAAACAACAACAAAAAGACAGAAAAGGGCACTTGCTTACCAATTTTGGCAATATAAATTCTGCTAGCAAACTTTATTATGTATAATCAAGTAAGTGACAGCAGTGCAAAACAAACATAGCCATCTTAGCAAGTTGAGGACAAAAATACAGCATACAAAGCAAGAGACCTACATGCTCAAGTCACTTAGTTAACAAGTTACTAAAAGAGAAACTTGCCTCCTTACCAAAGAATGTGACTGCGAATCCTTCCAGCACACATGCCCAGCGACCCATGTAAAAGTAGCCCTTCAGGTTTGTGAAGAAGCTGATGGTGCCCCCAATCAAGGAGACAAGGAAATCAGCCACACAGAGATTCACTATGACATAGTTGAGAGGTTGCCTCAGCTGTTTGAACTTCAGAGTCACCAGGATGACCGTGAAATTTTCAGTGAGGGACAGGAAGGTAACCAAGAACATCAAGGCAGAAATCAGGTGAAAGTTCCAGGGTTCAATGGAATCCAAGGGACGTAGGAATGGATCCAAAGGTGAGGAGCTGGCAAGGGAATCTAGAAGCAAAGAATCATTTTCAGTTTCTTTTCTCACTCCATCCATTTTCTGTCTTTTTCACCAGAGAAGAGTGAAGCAGGTCACAGAGAATTAGCACATCTAATGATCTGTGCTTTTATTCCTAAAATGGAATTTCTAAACTACGATGGAAATTTTTAAAAAACCACCATGCTCTGATGCATGTATTAAAATCCAGAGAAAGTAAGTTCTTCTGAATATATTTGGCACTTGTGGTGGGATCAAGTTCAAGCAAGCAAGAGTCAGAGAAGCAATCTGGTCTCCTTCATTTTTCTCCTTTCACGGCTGCTAAGCCTCCAAACCAGCAAGATTAAAGAAGCAGTGGAGTTTCTCCCTGTGATTCTTCTCCGACAGCCAACAGCAATGCAGGAATGGTCTGAGCTGCAACTGAGGGGAGAGATGAGGTGCTGGCAGGAAGTCTCTTTTGTTGTCTAGAGTCCGAGAGAAGGAGTAATCGCTCCATTTGGAAAGATCACCAGCAAAGAAGAATTCCTTCCTTCTCACTGCAAAAAGCAGAACGCAGCAGAGGCTTCTTTCTTTTGATCAGGGGGCTGATCCAACCCAACACCATCACAAAAACAACTGATAACCTTCCCTAGTAGGAAGGGCCATGAGAGACCGTTCCCCTACTGAAGCCCACCATTAACAAATTGCAGCAATTGCTGTCACTGTTTCCAAAGGATCATAAAGCTGCACAGTGGTAGAAACAATGCATGGTTTCTTTTCACCTGCCTTTTGTTCCCATATTGGACTCAAACAGTTGGTTTTTAAATCAAGTGGGTTTGACTGTTTCTGGACCAAGAACCTCTCCTTCATTATCAGGAAAAGAACTCCTTGTCCCTTTTATGCAAAGTGACTTATCTAGTTCAAATGTATTTTCTTTCCAAACTAATCTTTCTGAACTCAAGAGATTCTGAAGACAAAGCATGGGTTTTTGGAGCCTGGAGAACAAATTATCAAAGTTATCTGTCTTTGCAACTACTGTTTTCTCTCTCCCTTCCTTTTAAGAACAGGCTACAATTTTCATGTGCTAGAGAATCCCTGAATAACACAGATCTGAGGGACTTCTTCTTGCCTCCCTAAATCCAGGCTACCCTGAATAACACAGATCTGAGGGACTTCTTGCCTACCTAAATCCAGGCTAGTGTCCCTGGGTAGCTCTGGTCCTGCTCAGAGCACTTGGCCTGGTGTGATGCTGTTGTGGTCTTCACATCACAGATGGGAGCCATTGTACCCTACACTGCCTTTTGCCAACAGGGAGGTCCAGCCTAGCTTCCGTTACTGGCATCATGGGCATGAGCCAAGGCCCTGCACCTCAGCAATGTGCCATCTGCCAACTCCTTCTTCTGCTTCTCCTTATTGTTCTGACCATCTGCTCATTTCTCCTTCTTGAGGATCAGACTAAATTTTTCAAAATGAAGTTGGGCAATGTTGGTGTGGGAATAACTGTTCCCAGAATTCCACTGCCTACATGGCCAGTCAGACCACCAACTATGGGATACTAGGAACTGCAGTCCAAAACAGAAACATTTCCTGTCTCTGCCACAGACAGCTCATGGTTAGAAGAGTCCTGAAGTACTGAGAACATCTGATTGTCCCAGTGAGTTTTTTTGCACCTCACATAGTTTGCACATTAGCTTGCTTTATTTCATGATTGGTCCTTGTGTGTAAACATGGGCTTCCTTCACAAGCAGGACTGCCCAGTCACAAAGGGCTGCTTGAATCATATCTCTGGAACACTAACAGATTTACAGCTTTTAATGATGGACTGTTTGTAACATTTAGTGTGTAACTATGTTGTGCCCCTGCCTTGCAGCTAATGTCAAAAAGAACCCTTACATTTTCTTCCTTTATAGTTTAACAGACTCACAGATGTGTGAAGGTAAGAGGAGAAGGGGACAACAGAGGATGAGATGGTTGGACATTGTCATCGAAGCTACCAACATGAATTTGACCCAACTCTGGGGGGCAGCGGAAGATAAAAGGGCCTGGCGTGCTCTGGTCCATGGAGTCATGAAGAGTCAGACACAACTAAATAACTAAACAACAAAAGATGTAATAATTGCCCTCTGTTGGCACTATGTACCCTAATATTACTCCAGTCAGCTCTAAGCAACATCTAATGTAAACAATCTAATATTAATTACTTCTTTAAAAATTAAGTAAAATTCCACCCCGCTCCATTCTCATCAAAGCAAAATGGAATGATTTGCTTTGGCTGGAACAAATTCAGGCTTTAAAAAAAATAACAGGAATGTGTCCTGTTTTAAATCATATAAACTCAGTGTCTTTGAATTCGTGTTCAAGTCTAGATTTGGTTTTAAAGCTTACCAAACATTGATTTTTGGGCTTCCGATCCTTTAGAAGATTAATCTGTCCAGTGTTTTCAAAATCATCATGATGTAAATATTTTGTAAATGAAGACAACAAATTTAAGGAACTTCTTCAGCTTATTTGTAAAGGACAGATTACTTGAGCTAGTAATGTAAAAGCAAAAGGAATAAGCTGCCAATGTATCAGGAATGGCCCTCTGCATGGCATGAACACATTCATTTCACTTGAGGACAAACCTAGATGAAGAGAACTGAGCTAAATGAGACCCAGTCTGGCAGTTAGAATTGTATGTGGCTTCCTGAAAAATTAGAACTGGATTTACTAGTCTCCAGAGAAGGTGCATTGAATGAAACAGGATATTAAACCAGCACGGGATGAGTTACTGTATTCTTGGATTTATAGTGGTGTCTCAACTTATGACCATAATCCGTTCCAGAAGATGGGTGTACCATATTTGCCAGTGTACAAGATGACTTTTTGGCCCTGAAAAACATGCCTCCAAGTGGGGGGTCGTCTTATATGCCGGGTGCACTTCCAGCAACCCCTCCCTCTCTCCCAGCGAAGTCACTTACGAGTAGACTGAGCCCGCTCCTCCTTGGTAGCCTGGGAACAGCCTGACTCTAGCGCTGAACAGCTGACTGTCGGGAACCAGCAGAGAGGCGGCAGCTATTTTGAGATGCGACCACATGGCTGCTGCCTCTCAAAATGGCTGCCACCTCTCTCTGCTGGTTCCCGACAGTCAGCTGTTCGGTGCTGATGCTGTCCTTCCAGCAAACCCTGGCTCTCTCCCAGCGAAAGGAACCAAAAGCGGCAAAAGGAACTCTCCCCATGATGCAGCCAAAGCAGAATCACGCATGTGGAAGAGGGGGTAGTCTTATACAGCAAGTATATAACAAACTACATTTTGAGTGGAAATGTTGGGGGGTTGTCTTATATGCCCAGTCACCTTATATGCTGGCAAATACGGTAACTCAAAATGGTTGTAAGTCGAAGCACCATTTCCTATAGGAATGCATCAGAACGCTGAGTAAACCACTGCTGAGTATTCTCTACCTGGAAACCCTGAAAAGGGGTTGCTATGAGTCATAATTAACTTGATGGCACACGGTGATAATGACAAGTCCTAGAAGTGCAGGGCTGGAAGGGACCCTATGGACGATTGAGTCCAGTCCCTGTCAGAGAGGCACAGTGGGGAACTGAACAAAACCACTGAGCTATCCAACTTCTCTTTCACAACGTCTATCTCAGAATTTTTTACATAATTAAAAAAATCGTTCCTGAGAATGTATCATTGCTAGAAAATTCATTTTCCCCACTCCCACCAGTCACTGTGAAGACCAGTGCTAAGCTTATACAGACTATGGGAGGAGCAGGGGAGATGTTTCAAACATGTGGATTTCTGAGCTTTTTCATAGCCCAGAAGGGTTACCTTTGTAGTACAACGCCCAAGCTGGCTGGGGAATTCTGGAAATTGTGGTCCAAATATATCATTTCCAGGGGGTGAGGGAGAAGGACAAGGAAGGAATTATCTTTTCTTTCACCAGCTGGTTATCAAGATTCTATTATACCGATTTCAAGGAAATTTTGGAGCGATTGCCAAGCTCTGTACCATCATTTTTCATACTTGGATCAAGAAACAAATTAGGGGCTTGTGTTCTAGTTTTTTTAAAAGTTCTACTGGAAGTAGGAAAATGTGTGAAATATACTCAGAGATGTTAATAAGGTAAATAACAAAAGCTCATAACTCCCCCTGACCTGTCAGGGATTGATCACCCAGGCAAGCATTACCAAAGGACAGAGAAAAGAAATTGCCTAATTTTAATATGTTTTTTTTGCAAAAGAGTTTCATTATGAGCCCTAATCCATTCCCTTCACAGATTCCAGATGGTCTCTATAAATCAGATGACTAATTTATCCTACCTAAGACCTTAATAGAATTGACTGCTAATGTCTGACCTAACATGAGCATATCAATTCAGAAAAGAATCATTTCTTAAAAAGTCCCAGCAATCAAGAAAAGCCCCCCTTTCTTCTAATTTTATTCAATTTCTATTCCCATCTTCTGCATTCTTAAGGCTTTGGGAATATTACAATAAATGACAGATATACAAACATTTACACTGAGCTGAAATGTATACACTTAATACAGACAGAATAAAAAGGGCTATATTTGCTCTGGACATGGCTGCACATGATGACCAAATCTCTGATGAGGAACAATTGAATGTATAAACTGATCCCTCTGATAAGTTTATTCAGAAGAGGCCACTATGGTGCTGATGCCTGGTGATTGCTCACATACAGAGCAGGTGGCTTGTAACTAAATTTATTTTGACATCCCACAGTCCCACCCACAACATTTACTCTTGCTCTTGGTTGTTTTGTGAAACTAAGATGGCAGATCCTGGTCTTAGCCACATGTCACCACCAGATAAGCCTGAAAGGTACCACCAGCTTAGAAATGGGGCACCAGAGACATTTTACTTTGGGTGCACTCAAACCTCAAGCTGCCCTGGGTAATGAGCAAGCAAGTATACACGGAGAGAGTTTTGCTGACCAGCGGATGAGTATATTAGCAGATTGCACTGAAAAGCACCAGACAAATAAAAGTTGTCATTGACTGAATGCCTGAAATCCTGTTGCATAATTATGTGAAAGGCATTACTTTTAGCAGCAAATTGCTGTACATTAAG